TTAATAAATCCCACATAAACGTTTAATTAACCAAAAAAATGATTATATTTTATTATTTTCTGTAACTTGTCTGAATTTTTTTTACATTTATCTTATTTACTACAAACTTATTATTTAAAATGTACAACTGCTCAGAATATTTAGAAGACGAATTATTGGATGCTATGATGGAAGACGTTTTGTTCGAAGAGTTGAATACTGTCGAAGTAGAAGAGGAAGTACAACCCCAAAAAGGTTCCGTTATGGGACGCACTTATATCGATCGTGGACACATTGAAGGCCACGATACTCTTATGAGAGATTACTTTTCCGAGACTCCGGTCTATTCCGATGAAATGTTCCGTAGAAGATTTCGAATGAAGCGCGACCTCTTCTTGGAAATTGCTGAAGCTATAAAAAACCATGATAGCTATTTTGAACAAAAGGTGGATGCAGCGAACCATTTGGGGTTGTCTACTTTGCAGAAAGTAACAGCTGCGATAAGACAGTTGGCGTATGGATCAGCAGCAGATACAGTTGATGAATACCTTCGTATGGCCGACTCTACAGCCATGGTATGTCTGAAGCGGTTCTGCAAGGCGACTGTCGAGGTATTCGGTGAGGAATACCTCCGTTCACCCAACCAGGAAGATGTTGACCGTTTGTTGCGTGTTGGAGAAGAGAGAGGATTCCCCGGCATGCTTGGATCAATTGACTGTATGCACTGGGAGTGGAAGAATTGCCCGACAGCTTTACATGGCCAGTATACCGGCAAGAGCAAGAGGCCCTCTGTAATTCTGGAGGCCGTAGCCTCACATGACCTCTGGATCTGGCATGCGTTCTTCGGACTCCCTGGGTCACTTAATGACATTAATGTCATCAATCGGTCTCCTGTGTTTGCAGACCTGGCAAAAGGTGTAACCCCCGATGTCAGGTTTGAGGTGAATGGCAATACCTACACGAAGGGGTATTACCTGGCGGATGGTATTTACCCAAAGTACGCAACTTTGGTAAAAACCATCCCTAACCCGCAAACAGCCAAATCGAAGGTACACATATATTATCTGAAGCTAAACTTGGTTATTTTGATATTAACACAAGACTTTAACGTAGTATTTTGCAACAGGGCAAGAGGCAACTCGAAAAGATGTAGAGCGTGCGTTTGGTGTTCTCCAAGCGAGATTCGCCATGGTTCAAAGACCAGCTCGGATGTTTAAAAAGAGGGATATAGAAACTGTGATGAACTCTTGCATCATTCTGCACAACAAAATAGTGGAAAATGAACGCGGGCAAGGTCTTGAATTGATTTATACTCCTCATTCTGCCACACCTTCATCATCTCGGGAGGAGTTAACATTTGATGAATTCGTTGAGCAGTACTTCTCGATTAGAGATCCCCATACCCACAGCCAATTACAAAAAGATTTAATTGAACATTTATGGCAAAGGAAAGGTAACATGTAGTTACATATGCCGTAAATTAATAAAAACTTAATACATACATACAAACATATATGAAAGAAAATAAACAAAGAACAAAGTTGAAACTTTTATCTAATTTTGAAAACACTGGTAAAAGTATTAAGTATTTATACCAATCAATAATCAGCGAAGCGATGGATGAACAATCATTCCTTCGATCTTGGACAATAGTTGTAGCTATTTCCAAAGTTCAATCGATTTTTTAATCCACTTCAAAATGTATTTTCTTTCTTTAAATATAAACTAATTTTTATTTTATAGATGTTATACCGAATTTTGTAACTCTTAATCTACCTCTTCGTCTACCTCTTCTTCTTCCCCAACTTCTTCTCCCCCTACTTCTACTTCTTCTCTTACTTCTTCTCTTACTTCTTCTGGTACCTCCACGTCACTCCCATCTTCGTCTTTTTCGGCTTCTCTCAGCAAAGATGATTCACTTTCCTTTTGAAGACGACGTTCTTCTTCCCACATCCGAGCCAAAATTCTCTTCTTCTGTACGATCAGTAATTCACGATAGTCAAGATCATCTACGCTGTATATGTCCTTTTTCATAATTTCGTCTTCTCTTGTCATCTGTAACAATCTTATCCTTTCCCTGTTGCATTCAAGCAAAAGCTCGATGTTCTTGGCACTTCTACTTTCACTTGCAGCCTTCAAGCCTTCGCCGCTTGCCAAACGTTTCTCTTTCTTGCGACCAATAGGTCGGACCTCGTCAACGTCATCTTCCACAGCTGAAGAATTTGTTGCCTTTCGCTTTCCTTTGGCTTTGATGGCAGAAACCTCAAGAATCGACTTGAACTTTGGTTCTGAACGAAGAATTTTCCAGCAGTGCCGCAAATTAAATCGCTTACCAACGTCTTTTTCGAAGAGCACGTCTGCTCTGTCAATCTATTTTGATTGATTGGTTGGTAAGTAATCGATAAATTTACATTATAAACAATCATAATAAATATTACTTACCATTTCGTTGGGCCCAGAGCCACTGGGAGAAGGACCGTTTTGAACCTGGTCAAAGAAGTGTACTTTAAAACCAGTTTTTGGATGGTTTTCCATCTGGTATAAAAGCTATCGTCGTCACGATCTACCAATACAGCGGCTTGATTCTTTGCAAAGTTCTCACGAAAGTTGTTCCTGATACCAGCCCAAAGGGTGGCCATTTTTTGTCCATTTCCAACGATTCCATCTTTAGATATGGCAATCCATGATAGACACAGCTGCATATCTTCTTTGGTAGTCCAGTTTGGTGATGACTTGCGCTTGAGAGGATCAGTTGGCATTTTTACTTGTAAAATTTGAAAAATTTATGTGTGGAAAGAAAAATAATGATTTTTTTTTTTGGATTATTTATTGTTCAGATTTAAGCAATATGTAATGAAAATTAAAAAAATAATTAAATCTAATAAAAAATTAATGCACGGTTGGGAATGCTTTTAATTAAAAATTGTATTAGATCTGATATAATCCATTAATCTAATCCACGGTTGGGAATGCTCTAAGAACTATAAGGATATTACATCACAAGTCTAATTTAGTACGTCTGAGAAATACTTAAAATTTAGTTTAAAGCAAAGAGAGTTAAGAAGACTTAACATTTATTAGAACAAGACTAAATTAGTGACTATGTAATAATCGTATACATTTTTGGTTAATCAATGATAACTTCAAGATAGCACTAGAGATATGAACACAGCAGACAGTCTTTTATATAAATACTCGTACATTTCATTTATTAATAAAGGACAATCTTATAAACAGTCTCAAACTACTCCCATAGTCTTTTTATAATTTAAAACCTTACCTTAAAACACAACACTTGATAGTGTATTCACAGGGTTCGAGAGTGTCTTTTCTAGACCTTTCATCTTGATTCTCGATTCATCTCAAAATCAGTATTTGTCCAAGCTCGTTAATAAAACTGCACTGTTTGTAAGCCTATCTTTTATGCTACGTTTGCTCAATTTTGTTAATAAACATCGGGGTCATCTTATAACTTTATTGCTCGAATTACCAGTGCCTCATAGTGTTCGAACTTTTCGAGCTTGCACCGATCTTGCGCCAGTTCGAACGAAGCTCGAACCGAGTTTTTGTACTCGAGCTTGTGCCACTTTTTTTGGGTTCGAGCGAGCTTCGATCGATGCTCGCTCGAAGCTCGCTCGGCTAAAATGTCGATAGTAGTCACTTTAAAGTTTAGGTCCTTGAAAGACTACAGATGGCATTTTCCCTTGATTTTAATCTTTTCTTCCCTTTACCATTTTTTTTTATTTATGCTCTAATAATTCCAATTAAAATGCTTTGGACTTTTATTTAATTGTACAACCAACAAACACATTTACCATAGAAAACGAAACAGTGTTGCACACTATACCCAACTAAGCCAATTTTTTACAGCAACCATAATAACATGACGTAGCAGAATTAATTTAAACTTTCATGTTCAAAAATCCAAATGTATTATAATTATGGATGCAGTAATAGTTTGATTTAATTATCCGAATTTGGTGTTTATAATACTTAATATATGACTCTATCTACTAAATCTTCCATTTAATAATCCTAAATATAATTCTTATTGATACTGTTATATTAAATACTGATAATTTACTTTATGTACAGGCTTGATCTCATATCATCCTTCATACAAGTATAAGACATACATTTAAATTATAACATTGATATGAAAACATTTGAAGGTTACATCAGCCACATTGAGGTGCCACAGCTATCTGAATTAAGAACTACATTTTTCCCTGAATATTGTGCTACAAGACATGCACAGTTTAAGAATGAATGCTATTGTTATTGTTATGGACATCTCATTATGGCCTTTCTATATGGGATCATTACATTGGATTTTTATCTTGATGAATCTACCCACGACCGTCATCAGTACATCTGTGATCAATGTCTGAAATAATGTGTATATAAAGACCCCCTTTTATTTGTTTAATAAAGCCTAAGTTAATTTTTGCAAGTTTGATAATTTTCTTGTTTTTATTTATAAATCTACACCAATTTCCACAGACTCATGGGTTTCGGCCACGTAAGCTGAAACTAACACTAAGACTAATTAAGTAAGCCAAGACATTCTTAAATGCAAACCCATGTTATCTGAAAAGATATAGATACACCCCCTTTTTATCGCCTTCCCCGTTCCATAATCAATTATTATTATTAAATACTTTGTAAACCGTTCTCCTTTTGTCTTTGTATAACTGGTAGGTATCTTCTGATATTATTGCTATTATATAATCCTAGCCACGTTCCTGAAACGCTTGTTAATTATAGTGGTGATGGGAACGCTTGTTAATCAAAGTATTGATGGGAACGCTTGTTGATCAGAGTGATGATTAATCAAAGTGGTGATCGAAACGCTTGTTAATTAAAGTGGGTCATTCTATAATAAGCGATGTGTTTTTTCGTTTTCGGTTTTTTATCTTTACCTCAATTTAGGCAAAAACACACACACACACATACACATACACACACACAGACACACAGACACAAACAAACTATGGAACACCATTTCGAAGAACGCAGAAATGCACTATACAATCTTTTCACTTCGTTTTGTGAAGGTAAAAAAGTTTAGTTGGGATGGGGGTGTGAATCGACAAAAAGGATGTGTGAGTATGGGGGAATACTGACAATTTATTTTTTGGGGGTGGTTGTAGATTTTGCCCATCATGCTCCTTCTACGATTACCAGAATGTTAATTGATAACGACTTTTTTTTTTGGCCTGTAGCCATTACCGGTGAACGAAGACTATCTTTGCTTGAGCTATAACCAGTACAGAGTTCGAATGAGCCAAGTACCTCTTCCGGTCCGTTTTGGTAGGAATAACAGCAAAAAAAATCCATATAAAACATCTGGTATCTATACTAACATGAGAGGTGATTTAGTGAACGTCGTTGACGATGAGGAGGATAAACTTTTGGTGTCTCCCCCTCATCCTGCAGCTCCTTTCGTGGCTTTCCCCCTGTGGCTGAGGTTCTGCCTGTCCCCCCCCCCTCTGCTCCCCTTCCACGTGGCTCTGCTATCACCACCGCCCAACCCTGACTATTTTGCCCGTCAGTATGAAGGTAAGTTTGTCATCATGGTAATGGTTTTTCGATAAAAGTAACCTGCATCTAATGTTGTCTCTCTCTCTAGTTGGTGACCGTTTTCGACGTTTTCCTGGTGAAATTGTTCACGCAATCACCACCACCACGAATTCCATTCGCTTGCCCTTTGCTCGGGTCGCTAGAGGGCAGTTGGAGTTAAATACGGTAGTAAGGGAGTATATTTTTGTGCAAGGAAACATGACCGCTTCACAGGTTCGAAACCTTCTGCTGGCTTTGATCCTTTTACTAATGAATGATGGGGTTCTCACCGTGCGCCAACTCGCTTGTAAGTTGTTTAAAGATGTTTTCAAAATCACCTTAACTTATCTATCTTTATCAAACAAAAATGTAGTGCTGCACTCACCCGACCCAACACGCTCTGAGCTGGAATCGATTCGACTGGCGTTAAAACTTGGAGCCTTTCTTGCTCCAATTGTAGAGGACGTGTCGTATTTGAGAAGATATAAACACTTGATATGTATAATCTTCTCTCTTAAACAGATATTCATATGAGATTAAATCTCAGTACAATCATAATTGTACTGATGATGTCCATCTCGAGATCGTACAGTCACTATATTAAGAATCCGCAATAATTACAAAGAAGCTATCCCGGTCAATTAAGATCCTTCTTCGCTTTTTATCAAATTAATAAAGATCCTTTATTTGTGTCTCATCGACTTTATAAGACTTTATTTAAAATTAACTAGTGAATACCGCTTTTGCCACATTTTTTTCGATGAGACACAAATAAAGATAAGATAACTGCCAATCTCGAGAGTTTAAGATTAGACATAACTCAAGAGACTGGTAGTGATAGAACGGTCGAGACTTCAGAATCTGATCCTACCGCTATGGAGGTCGATGATGATAGTCAAGATCCAAAGAACGAAGCTACTCCTGTTAAACCAAGAGTAACTTCTAAATACGCCCCTGTCCCTGAGGAAAGTGTTGTAGGTAGCACCACCTCTTCGGATAATAAGGTTAATGATCGACTTGATGATCTTACTGTTGCGCAAGCTCGGTATAAGAAAATCAGTAAGTTGTTATCCGAGATGACTAATGAGCACATTGAATTGGCCATTATTCGAGATTTGCCCGATGATCATGAAGATATCATCAAGATTAAGAATAAGATTACAATTCTTAGCACCCACTTAGAAAAACAAGAAAAGATAGTGGCTGCACTCCAAAATTTTGTCGACGCAAATAAGAAAAATTTCGTCAACAATAATCAACATGGTGACATTAGAGCTATGATTCCCTCTGACGATGTTCCTGCATTTGACGTGGATCCAAGCAAGAGTATGTTGCAAGCAAGATCTGATGATAATGATAAGACGATTACACTTTCGGAGTTTATCATTAAATTCAATAGAATGTTTGTTGATTATGGAGTAGACATTGACGAACATTGGTTGTTCTACCTCGGTAAATCTTTTGCCAAGAACACCAAGTTCTACCCATGGTTTGAAACAAACCTTAACTCTGCCAAGAGCGACATTAAAAGTTGGAAACAAGCGGTAGCAGTTTTGGAAAATCGTTTTGACCTTGGAAAACAAGCTAGCGTACACCAGTTGGCTCAGAACCTTATCAAGTTTAAACTTGATAATAATGAATCCTTTATTTTGGGTATGGAAAGATTCAAGCAATTGATGGTAGAGTCGAATATTGTTGAAAATATTGAACTGGCAATAATCTATCAATTCTTAAATGCTTTGCCAACAAGAGTACAAGATGAAGTACACAAGATATTTAAAAAGAAATCATCAACATCCAAGAGTAGTGACATGGAATCCTTGAATTTGAAGAAAATTCACCATTTGCCTTTTGTTTGGGATGAATTCCAAAGATCCGTCGGTACACATATTGCTGATATAGAAACTGTATTAGACAGCTGCAATGAAGACGAAAAGATGAATGCAGTAGAAGATAACGGTGCGAAGAAAAGAAAGTTTGAAGACGATCCTTCTTCTTCCGCCACAGAATACAGAAGCAAGTTGAAGAATAGTGGAAAGTGTACTTTCTGTGAAGAGAAGTGGACTTACAACCACAGATACAACTGTAAGAAAAGAATTGAATTCTTTAGATCCAAGGATGCTTCCTTACAAGACAATGTAAGTAACAACCTAGATGTACAAAATAAATTGGTTGCAGTGATTGGTACAGAGATCTTACCAGACCCTCAAAAAGTCTTGATCGTGGAAAATCCTGCTGCTGATAAAGAAGTTGTTAAAGAATCATCGAGTTATACTAATAATCATGATTTTAGTAACGCTGTACAAGACACAGAAGATTTACACGTTAATTTTGTTAATTTATCATCGTATTATGATGAAAATTTACAGTTATCAGATTTAGAAACAGATAATGAATATAACAGATTTTTAAATAAAGAAGATAATATTTCTTCAGATTACTTCAACGGTTCCAATATAAACAATGATTATCATGTATGTGCTATCAAAGTTAAGAGAAACCAATTAGGAGATATAGACAATGAATACAAATCAGACCACCCTTTTTCTCGTTTTGTTCCAATCACGATAAATTCGGTAGACAGTAAGTGTTTGATAGATTCTGGTGCAGATATTAGTTTATTATCTAAAGCTTATGCTGACAATAATAATATTAAATATCAACCAGTAGATGGTTGCTTAATTGTAGCAGATAATCGTAGAGTACCTAGATTACGTACAACAGAAGCTTTAGCTGTAGAATATGATAATGTTGATTCCGTCATCCATCATAAATTTGATGTTCTTGATAAAGATACATTACCTAATTTTAATAGCAAGACCTTGGACATCTTAGTTGGATGGGATTTAATGCCAAAATTAGGTATCCATTTGACTAATTTGGCTACCAAATATAAAAGCTTTACAACAAAATTAGTTGAAGAACAAATCACTAATGATTCACCTTATGAACCCAATATTACACGTTCTGGTAGTCTAGATGAACAAGAGGCTTTTGATAAAGCTATAGATCCATATTTAGAAGCAAATGGAAGATTAGATAAAAATTCCCTTTGCAATATAAAAGAGGCTGTTTTAAAATTGCCAACACCTACAGGATTCGCTGCTAATATAAGACAATATCCTATTAGTAATGCGCTTAAACCTGTGGTTATGCAGATTATAGAGGATTGGTTAGCTCAGGGCATTATTGTACCAGCTAAACCATCAGGTTGGAATCTTCCTATGACAGTAACTTTGAAAAAAGACCATATCGACGGTGTTATAAATAAGGATAATATTACAAAAGATTTTGTTAGACTCCTATTAGATCCTCGAATGCTCAATGCTCAATTACTGAATAAGGAAAGCCATAATCTTCCATTAATAGCAGATATTCTAGACGCTATGGAAGGTTGTACGGTTTTTAGTACTATAGATTTAAAAAGTGCTTTTAACCAGTTCCCTGTCAATCCAGAAGACCAAATCAAGACTACATTTACAGCTCCAAATAATTTACAATATATGTATAGAGGCGCTCCTTTCGGTATATCAACTATCTCTCAATTATTCTCTCGTGTAATGTTGAATCTTTTTAAAGATCTTCCATATGTCAGATGCTTTGTTGATGATATTGTTATATTCAGCCGTTCTATGGAAGCTCATTTCTTCCACGTTAAGACCGTACTGCAATTATTGACAACTAGTAATTTGCGTATAAATAACAAGAAAAGCCATTTTGCAAAGAAATCTGTCTTTTTACTGGGACACTCTATCTCTAGTGCGGGTCGTAAAATAGATTATAGAAAATTGACCAATCTGGATGATATGAAACCCCCGGTAACACAGAAACAAATACAATCTATACTTGGCTTCTTTAATTATTTCAGAACATATATTCCAAATGCTGCTCATCTCATGGGTCCGCTAGACGAACTAAGATCATATGATACAAAAAAGAATGGTAAACTACCATGGACAGACATTCACCAAAATAACTTTGATACTATTAAAAAGGTGTTACAGTCTGACTTGGTATTATCACACGTGGATACAAACCTTCCGCTGTGTTTAGCCACAGATAGTTCAGATTTTAGTACAGGTTGCTGCTTGTATCAAGAACATATAATTATAAATGACAACAAAGATGAAGTTAAAGTCAAAAAGTATATCGGGTTTATGTCACGAACATTTAACAAACACGAGCGTCTGGCTAGTGTCACAATGCGTGAACTTCTTGGTATTATATATGCACTTAAACAATTCCATAAATTTATTTGGGGTACTAGAGTTAGATTATATACAGATCATAATGCCCTGTGTTACATATTTACACAAAAACATGCCAATAGCATGATAATTCGTTGGTTAGATGTCTTACTTATGTATGACTTAGAAGTAATCCATTGTAAGGGTATATATAATGTACTGCCAGATAAACTCAGTCGTCTATATCCACCTGTGGACATAGAAGAAGAAGAATTAAACGAGATGAAACAGAAACAGCATTTAGTAGCATTTAAGACAAATTATGCCTTATCTAAATCTATAAATAATAGAAAAAGAAATAATGCGTCCTTAACCATCAGTGACGATAAAAATTTAATTCTCAAGATGGTGATCAAAACATGATCACAGATAGAAAAAACATATTTTACATCCAGAGCGGTCAAACCATATGCCAAGATTATTTTACTCCACCAGAAAATGATCGAAATCAACTTTTAATTGATGCACATGATGCTGTTGGTCATTATGGAGGAGAACAGATGGTAAAAAGATTGCATAAAGATGGTGTCCATTGGACTAATTTAATTGGTGATTGTGTCGAATTCGTTCGTAAATGCAACCCATGTATGAAACATAATATTCAAAAGAAAGGATATCATCCAGCTCGTAACATATACAGTTATTTGCCTGGTGAGCATTTAGCAATAGATTTAGCTGGTCCTATTCCAAACTCAAAAGATAATATAAATATGTATTTCATGGTAATTGTGGATGTATGTACTCGCTTTTGTGTACTTCGCGCCTTACCTGATAAAAGAGCATCAACTATCACTAGAGTTTTAGTTGATGTATTTGCCCTTATTGGACCACCTTCTGGTTGTACCCAATCAGATAATGGTAGAGAACTAAAGAACTTTTTAACCAAGGAGATTGCAGATGCACTTGGTTACGAACAAAGATTTATTACACCCTTACACGCCTCTGCTAATGGCTTAGCCGAACGTACGGTACAATCCGTCAAGAAGTTGCTAGCCAAAGCTACCAGTGGTGTGGGAGTAGATTGGGATTTACATTTAAATGCTATTCAGTTGGCTATAAATAAGCGTATATCCAAGAAATTAAATACCTCTCCATTTTCCTTGTTTTTTGCAAGAAGACTACCAGAACCAACAGACCCGTTGGAGTCTAAAGATATAAACAATCAAAAAGTTGTGAAACAAGATATGTCATATGAAGAGCTCTTGAAGCGTATAGACTATATGCATGATGTTGTATTTCCGGCTATTGCTGATAGAACAAAAGAACAAATTGAACTTGAACAGGCAAGATTTAACAATAGCCATGTTCTCGTAGATTATAAACCAAATGACCATGTTATGATCCGCATAGAAAAAGATGGCCAATTAGCACCATCATATGCCGGACCCTACACGGTCGTTCTTAAAAATCAAGGTAATGCCTACATTCTTAGAGATGATGTTGGCATGATTATGCCTAGAGCGTATACCTCTATAGAATTGAAATTAATTTCACATGATGAAGTTATTTCATTAGATGATGAAGGTAACGAGATTAAAAATTACGAAGTTGAAGCTATCCTCAATCACAGAGGTACATCCAAGAATATGGAATACCTTGTACGCTGGAAAAACTACAGCAGCGATTGGGATGAGTGGATTCCTACAAAAAACTTCAATGACGTAGCTTGTCTAAGAAATTATTGGAAACATCTTGGTAAAGAGTACATTCCCCCAAAGAATGTCAAGAACACCAATGCTCCTAACAGCTTATCGGTATTAAAAAATAATCCACCAGGCAGTATATCTCAATTGATTGAGACTCTACCCTCAGATACAGACAATACCGTACTAGATAAAAGAGATTCAGTACACAAACGTGCTCGTATTAATACGTCCCAGAACGAAGAATTTAAAAACTTTCAAGATTCTTCTAATAATGCCACTCGACGTAGCCCTAGATTCAGAAAGTAAATTGGGCGGTTTGAATCGGCGATAAAAAAAAAGATTAATCTCATACTGGAGGGGGGTTATGTCGTATTTGAGAAGATATAAACACTTGATATGTATAATCTTCTCTCTTAAACAGATATTCATATGAGATTAAATCTCAGTACAATCATAATTGTACTGATGACGTCCATCTCGAGATCGTACAGTCACTATATTAAGAATCCGCAATAATTACAAAGAAGCTATCCCGGTCAATTAAGATCCTTCTTCGCTTTTTATCAAATTAATAAAGATCCTTTATTTGTGTCTCATCGACTTTATAAGACTTTATTTAAAATTAACTAGTGAATACCGCTTTTGCCACAGGACGCAGGTCTTACGGCTTTGTTGTTGGTGGACTTGTTCCCTACGTCCAAACTACAACCACCAAGGCTATAATGTTTCGCCTGATTCGTCCATTTGGACGAATTTTTAGTAAGTGTTTACCCACTTACCCAAAAAAAACGAATTGGGTAAATTTACCCATTTACTCGTTTGGACGAATTTTTTAGTAAGTGTTTACCCATTTACTCAAAAAAAACGAATTGGGTAAATTTACCCATTTACTCGTTTGGACGAATTTTTTAGTAAGTGTTTACCCATTTACCCAAAAAAAACGAATTGGGTAAATTTACCCATTTACTCGTTTAGACGAATTTATAGTAAGCGTTTACCCATTTCACCAAAAATAATAAAAAAAAAAAAAAAAAAAAAAAAACCTCTCCCTTTCAGCCTTCAGCCAAATGAAAAACTTTCGTTTATATATATTGAATCATTTAATACATTCATTCGTTTGAAAAAATTGGTTTGCAGTTTTAAAAGTTGATTATATATTTTATTTAAAAGAATGAAATTAAGATTTATTTATATCTTGATACTTAAGGACAAATTGCTATATAGAAGGATTACTACTTAAATGAGCTAAAAAGTAAACGGTACATGGCATAACATGAAGGCATTGATTATTTGTATAGGAAGCAACGTATAATCTAAAAACAAGGGGGATAACCAAAGTTTTCTAAATGAATATTAGGTTAGTTTATGATAAGAAGACTCAAAATTGATACGCACTAATTCCTTTTCTAAAGAGAGTAGCCGCCACAACGGTAAAAACAGGAAGCATAAGTCTGAAGAGATAATTAGAGAAATGAAAAGCCATAAACGAAAAACACTTACTTATAGCACTGGCGTAGTACATTGTAAGCACGGCCTTTATACACCTGTCTATACTGATTTAAAGAGAGATAAGTAAGGGGAGAGACTTCAGAGATGGAATGATGAGTTTACCAGAGTGTAATTGCGAAAGTAGTAAGCCCAGACGTTTATTCAGTTACATGGTTACGAGAAACAAGAACGAATAAAAGTAATCTTTTTTTTTAAAAAAAACTGATTTATTGATGTAAAAAGATAAAAAATAGATATCAAAAAAGAAAAAAGGAAAAAAGAAAAAAAAGAATGTGTTTATATGTACTTTTTAGTGGTTGGTGTAACGACGGAGAGATGACTGGAGGCAGATGATTTTTTTGTTTACGCGGCTTCTTGGTAACAGGACTCTTATTGTTATCACTAGAAGTGACACTTCTACGCAGCTTAGCCTTGCTCCAAAGCAAACTCACGCTCTCTAGTTCTCTGGGCTAGAGCTTTGATTTCTCTAGCCATTCTTTTTTCTTCCTCCCCTTCATCCTCCCCTTCATCCTCACCCTCGTCACTCTCTTCACTCTCGTCACAGTCTAACGTCTCGATATTGTCACCTTCGTTTGCATAAACACTCGTATTGATATCTCCTGCCAATTCGTCTTCACTCTCCTCTATTTCATTAGCGATTGTCGAGGCTCCAGGACGGATCTAATAAAATGTTATATATTAGTTCAATGCCAACTTTACATTTTCAATTGTAGTATTCACCTTCGTCTTGAAAATTGACTTTACGCGGTTTCTGACTGCAGCAACCAAAATGTTTTTAGATCCCCAACTTTTGGAAAAAGCAAAGAGAGGCAGACAGTTATCAGCTCCAAGGTAATGGAACAAATGATCATCAGCGATCAATGCGAACAATTCCCGTTGTTCAAACCCGATTTTCATCCAAGTAAAACCTGAATACAGCGTAAACTGAGGAAGGACGTAAACGGTTACGAAATTTTTCATCGCGGTGTATGCCAAATCGTATCGACGTTCCAGTTCGCTGTCATTCAATGAAATAGGACCACCTTCCAATATATTGTCGTCGCTTTTGAAGTAGGCTTTTGAGGCCTCAATGACCTGGTTCTTTGCAGAGATACCTACGGGTTTATCTTTAACACGTTGGCCTAAATGATTGGGGTTCTTCAACAAAGCCTTTTTCTTCTCCTCGGTGTAGATACTGCTGAGTAGGTTTCTTAATTCCTTGTTGCCTTCTTGATCAGTAGAACCAGACATACCTTGGAACCGAATTAGCATTGTATGAGGTATTTCTTTCTTTAAAATTATCTTACCAGCAACCCGTGAGTGACCAGCCATGTGTTTAATCATTTCTTTTAACTCTGTAATGGTGTTCTTCATTTCCATAACTTCATGCTTAAGAGATTGCACTTCAGCTACAAGAGGATCGTGACCGAAAGAGGAGCTGGAGGCAGAGTTAAAGAGACTATCAAAGGAAGAATTTAATCCTTGCGTAGCAGAGGTTTGGTAGTCATAGATGTTGGTATCAAGCATAGTTTAAGTAGTTTTCTAAAGAGATGATAAAAAGATGTAGTTAAAAAAAAAAAATTAAAATGCATTTATACTTTCCAATTCGGTAATCTGTCCCAAATAGGCAAAAATGGAAACCGGCTGTCATCACAAATCAGGCAATTTGACAAGCTTGGCACAATTCTGCAACGTATTTACCGAAAACTTTGCAGTGAAGGATTACTCGTAATCATTGACAGTGATAACGCGTTATAAAATAAAGAGATGTTAAAAGGCTGGTAAGCAATGCACTGGGTATGTTACCAACTTACATGGGAATATTTGAGATGGTCATTCCGACTGACAAAAAAAAAAGAATCTTGTCGTTTTAGACAAATGTAAACTTGTTTGTAATGTCAAAGAGTACTGTTTTTATACCAAACGTTCCATAGGAGGTAACGACGCACCGTAACTACGTCAAAGTATTATGAGTGATAGCTCGTTATGCGTGTTTAAAAATGACAAATTACCTAATATAGAACAAGCCCGAAGCAAAGCGTCTATTTTTCGATATAAAACGATGAGGAAAATCGACCGGAAAATTAAATTACCACCATATTTACAATGCAAACGCCCCCAAACAACACTAGTCAAAGAAAATATAAAAGAGCTCGAACCAATGCTCCTACGGCTGTGCTTTTTAAATGCTTGTCCAGGTACTCTGAAAGTCTTGCTCAAGTTGATTCGTCATCTGTTCCAACAGATACCCATAACATGTCTAAGGATGCTCCCCGCGAAAGTCCTCCTAGCTATCTCAACTTTGAAGGGTTAGACCAAAATGAGTGGGTTCATGAAGAGCATGATGAAATGTTTGAAGACGCATTTTTCACCGACTCGAATGATTTCGAAGATACTGCTGGATCTGATACGCCAGAGATGGATTCGTTTAGTGACAATAATGAAGGTATGTACAATAAAATAATTAAATGAAGGAGATGATACTTACACGGCCCATATTTTAAGACATTTCTGAAAATATTCCCACTTGTTGCGAAGACGACGAGTCTATTTATACTGTGCGTGATGTCTTTATTCCATCCAATCCCTTTAGTCCAGCTCAAGAATACAGTATCCGCCTTTCAAATATTTGTGAAGAGAGAAATATTTGTCGCGAAGGTCATAGGCAACTGATAAAGTTATTCAATAACATGTTGTCTGATAAAAAAATTGGTAAATATAAGAACTTCAATAATACTGAATACAATTTATCAACAGTGCTAAAATATTTTACCATAGACAAATCGAGCAAATTACTTAATCGTGAAGCTTGTGATAAACTCATCAAACGAGTGGTACCGATGAATCTTGTCAACAAGCATGAAATTTGTGCTACTAATGGATGTTACTTGTATGACGCTATAAAGGATGTTGATCTTATTTCTTGTCCCATTTGTGATTGTTCTAGAAATATCAAGAAAGAGCTAAAGACCATAAATATCGCAGCCAAATTGTCCGAGCTTTTAGCTTGTGATGATGTAAGGGAAAGACTAGCATACCGATTCGAAGAATATCCCAACTCAGACATTTTGCAGCCATCGCAAGAAACAATTTACAGGGATGCCTTTGATGGAGAGCTCTATGCAAAATTTGTAAAGGACGGGCATTTTGACAATAAGTATGACATTGCTTTGAAGATTGACATTGATGGCTTTCGCAGCAAGTTTTCGAGCACGAAGATGACGATGATCCATTGTGTAATTTTAAACTATGATATTTCGGAAGTAAGTAAAAACGAATCCAGCTAAATTGAGGTATACTTACATTATCATAGCGTTTTACTCGAGAAAATACTTTCCAAATCGGTATTGTTTTTGGCCAAGTCAAGGTCAATCTGAACTCGTATTTGCGACCAATTATCAAAGAATTATCTGAGTTACACTCCAAGCCTCTTCTGGTCAAGCGAAACGGACAGCAAGTTGCAATTAGTAGAGTAACGACTATGTATGTTTCTGGTGATGGTGTTCAATGTAACGAGTTGATGAATTTTGGTGGTCATTGTTCAACATATGGCTGCAGGTTTTGTTTGACAAAGGGAAAGCATAGAGGCGATGTAAAAAACAAAGACGGGATTGTTGGCGAGGGGACCCATGGTATGTATTTTCAGGATGGAAAAGCGTTGATGAGATCAAGGGATAGTTTGTTGAAAAAAGACGATAGTGAAGTCTATGTAAGTATGATAGTGTTTGCGTATGTTATCCTCTATTTATCATTTCATCACATTAGGCAAATAACGACTACAACATTAATCTTCCTAGTGTTTTTGGTGATCTAGTCTCTTTTACGTCGGTTGCTTTTCATCCAATTGATGAGATGCATCTGTTTTCTAACATCGCCAAAGATGTTTTTTCCATGCTTTCTCCAAAGTACAACCTTCATTTCAAATACTGTGGAAAGGAAACAGATTATCCATTTGAATTGTCTAATACCTCGTTCACAGCCATCAAAAAGAGCATGGAAGGATCTAGACAACTCATACCAGCATCTTGTTTCAAAGGTAGTTGGTTGGCGATGGAGCCTAACAATGTCAAGGCACTTTATCGTTCTGCTGAGTGGCTGGATTGGCTGCTTTATTGTGTACCAACCCTGATTGTATCACAGTTTGATGACACTGTTGTGATTGACGGATTCCTTAACCTAGTACGAGGCATATCATTATCGTTACAGTTCCGAATCACCGAAGATGATATCAAGCAAATAGACAAGTAGGTCGATCCGATATGCACCTCTTAACATTCCTTAAACTGATTATTTTCATCCGTTTCTTTACGCAGGTCCTTCAATCATTGGTTCCAATTTATTGACAAGCTGATAAGCGAAAAGTGTATATCCAACTGTATTTACAAAGTCAACATGCACCAACTTAACCACATCACATTTATTATAAAAAAATGTTCTATTCTTCGTTGTGTGTCTGTCAGATCCATGGAAAGAGAAATAGGTTAGTTATATGAATTAAAGATTTTTGATTATATTCTTACATACTTTTACAGGAGCTTACAAAAAAAAAATGAGATCAAGAGTCAATGCTGGTGAAAATGCCAACAACATTATGGAACGAACGGCTCTTTTTTCTTTCATGCGAAATACAAAGATGGTGAACTTTGATCCAACTCCCCCGAAACTAGAAACCGACTTCGTAGAACATCCTTCTGGTAATGTGGACTTTGGTCAGTTATGGGCTCCATTTTATCAAGAATTTGAATTGACTGGCAATGCCGATAATGATTGCCTTATTGCTGGTGATCTCCTGACTATGAAATCGTTTGTCAGCGCTTTAAAATCGTACAAAAAACGTTTTTTTAGTTTACCAGAGCCTATTCATCGAATCCAAATCAATGTGGAATCTATTCTTCCCGCTGGTAAGCTTTGGCAAGATTCACACGTATATTCCGCTGCCATCTTTAAACAAGGGTTATCAAAGTCCATTGCAAAACGTGGTGGTGAGCATGTTCTGTTCCATTCGAATCACCAGACAAGAAGGTAGGTTTCAGCTTTTTTCATCAAAGCTAAACTAACAATACTATCAATAGACGAGGCAGAATTTCACAGGTGACTAACTGGTATGTGGGTAGGCTGTTATTCTTTTTTGAATACGCATTTGATGAAACATCCAGTTTTTACGCAGTACTTGAAGTCATGAAGAGACATTCCGCTGCCTCGCATAGCCCTTGCATTCCAACTGTTGTACCCTACGAAAATAACGAAGAAAAAAAAATAGTTGTTATTAACATTGCGGACATTGTGACAGTTGTGGGATTGCTGAAAATGGTGACACATTCAGTGAATGGAAAGAAAGTAACATACCAAGATTCTAGTTCTCTATTTGTCATTTCACCTTCTACTAGCTTTGATGAGGACATGAAGAAAACAGCAGGAAAAATATCCAACCTTTGCTAATTAATAAATCCCCTTTTCACAATTTTTTTAAACCACGCCAGCTATTCTTTTATTTTTATGGGATATACACCGCACCATGGTTAATGGGATGGGCGACCTTTAGTGTTGGATGTTCCGTTTGCTTATTTGATTTTAAGCAAATTAGTAACTTGATAGTCATAGACGAATGCTTATCCAGTTAAGATAAATGAGATAATTCAGGCAATTTTTAGTTTTTAGGGTGTTCCTTTTTTTTTATTACTCAAATGATTAAGTATTCGCCCATAGACGAATACTCGTCTGCTGCAGGTAAATGGAACGGATGAAATAACTTTTATTTACCCAATGTGAGTAAGTACTCGCTCATAGACGAATACTCGTCTGCTGCAAGTAAATGAAATGAGTAAAGTAATTTATATTTACCCAATGTGAGTAAGTACTCGCCCGTAGACGAATGCTCGTCTGCTGCAGGTAAATGGAACGGATGAAATAACTTTTATTTACTCAATGTGAGTAAGTACTCGCTCATAGACGAATACTCGTCTGCTGCAGGTAAATGAAACGAGTAAAGTAATTTTTATTTACCCAATGTGAGTAAGTACTCGCTCATAGACGAATACTCGTCTGCTGCAGGTAAATGAAATGAGTAAAGTAATTTTTATTTACCCAATGTGAGTAAGTACTCGCTCATAGACGAATACTCGTCTGCTGCAGGTAAATGAAATGAGTAAAGTAATTTTTATTTACCCAATGTGAGTAAGTACTCGCTCATAGACGAATACTCGTCTGCTGCAGGTAAATGAAACGAGTAAAGTAATTTTTATTTACCCAATGTGAGTAAGTACTCGCTCATAGACGAATACTCGTCTGCTGCAGGTAAATGGAACGAATAAAAAAGCTTAAATTTTTGTGCAACCTTTATATTTTACTCAAAATGAACGAACAGTTACCCCTGGACGAATATTTACCCTTTTTGAGTAAATGAAGTAATTTTATTTTTTGTGTACCATTGTTTATTTACCCAAAATGAGCGGATACTCGCTCACGGACGACTATTCGCTCAGATTTGAACGAATGCTTACCCCCAGACGACTATTCGCCCATTCGTCCGCATTTACTCTGTTAAAGTAAGTTTTTTTAGCCTAGGTGAACGGGCAAGAGCAGTAGTCCTTGCGGACTATGGAAATTTTGTTGCAGGTTTAAACCTGCGTGATTTATTCGAAAGTCAACGGTTGCCTTTAGTTCTCGCTTTCGGTGTCGAAACATTGTGGGACTTCTACAATGAGTTTTTTTAAAAAACGTTTTTCTTTTTCTTTTTCTTTTTCCAACTTCTATCTCAATAAATAACAATTTTATTATCTTAACTTTCTGTAATTAACATCACTTTGACGTGCACTTTGTGTAATAAAAAGGACGAGCGAGTTCGAGCTATCGTATTTGCAATCGAGCCGAGCTTAAGAAACTTCGAGCGAGCTCGAGCTGCAAAAAAAAACGCATTCGATCGAGCTTCGACTGGAACACGATCGAAGCTCGCTCGACAGTTTCGATCTTCATTCCGAACACTAGTGCCTCATCGTCTGCTGAACGGATAATATAACAGTAAATGGGTTGTCATTATGTTCAACGTGCTTTTACGTTAGGCCAACCAGCAATTAATAATGTACGCTTATCCGTCAATTGCCCATGTGTAAGCTTGCCCTATCTGTATCTCGCTCAACTAATCCAATGGGTCAAACTAGCATAGGTTGAACAGAAGACGCCCACTCATCCCTCAGTAAGCCGTTTTCACAATCAATATGAATAGCGACTAAACTGTTCCTTAAGATCTCTGATATGGTAGCGTGGCTGTAAGTATTACACATGTGGAAAGTCTAAAGAAGTACGAAGATTCATCTGCGGTTTTATATTATTGTGCGAAGGATTTTATAAACTATGAAGAAGATTTTGCTTCTTTCGAAATGCTGCAGATTTTATGTTTTTTAACCTGACATATACCGCCAAATGATAACGTGCGGACAGCTGTAAAGTTGTCTTACTATTTCGAGATTGCTGAATGAATTTCATTCACATATTTTAAGCTTTGATTTACAGATAGTACTAAAAAGTGATAAAATTGGTTGAGCTAAAACACGATATGTCAAGTGCTCATATTCAAAAGCCAAAAATGGACCACAAGTTGAACTGCGTCCAATTATTGTCGCTGTATTAAGAAAAATAAAATATGATTTTTATGTGAAAAAAACTTTTAGAAGTTTATTTTTTTCAAACATCAAAAATTGGCTTATCAAGTTTACCATACTTGAATACATTTTTGATAACATTTTCAGATATACGAAAGCTCTCTTCGTTTGATAAAATATTTTAAAAATATAAATTTTAGTTTTAAAGTTAATAGAAGACAATTGATATAATGCAAAGTAAATACATCTTAATCATATTAAAGATAATATACTGATAGTTTGTTTAATTCCGTATTATATTTATTATGCAATGAACTAGTGTTAATTGTTACATAGTATGATGTTGTGGTTTCGTTCCATGTCCTGATACAAAAAAAAAGTATTACATTCTTAATAATAGTATAATTCAATGTTGTGTCGAAACATCTAGTTCGTCCTATCTCTCATTCGAAGTTTTATATTCAGGATATAATTTTTATTCGTCTTTATCAGTTTTATAATCTTATTACAAAGCTTTGGTACAATACTACAAATAAATTTCAAACATAAATATAATGTTTATATATCATGCAATAAAATAATGTTATGTATTTTATAAAACTATACTAATTAAAAAGTTTATTATATGAAAACTAATGTTGTCCTTTACAGTGGCTTCAAAACAAAGTCTGCATACAGCTAGTATTAGAGTCATTAAACAATGAGGTATCCTTGTTCGATCCATTAAATCGATAATTGGGGGAAAAATGACATTACTACCACTAAAAAGGAGTTATTCGACGTTATGGCTATTATAAAAAATTAAATCACTTAAATTGCGTGATTTAGTGTGATGGATAATATCGTTCTGAATGGGTGCTTTAAAATACTACAAATGCACGCTTAATGAAATTACTTGAAGCACGCTGTCTGGTATATACAACTTTTATACATGGCAGAATTCCACTCATTCTAAAAAAAATTATGCATTACTGATTTTTTTTAAAAAAAATTTATTCATCATTTTCAGCATCATCCAAGTTGAAGTTATCAAGATCTTCTTCAATCTGAACATCGGCACTCTGGGCATCGGTACTTGCGATTACAGGCTCATTATTACGATGGGGTAAGTGATGGGTCGTAAATTTAGCCCATTTAAGGTTGACCTCCAAAGCACGCCCAAGAATGACCCAAGCACCAGAGGCTTCAACATGCTTCGCAAGTGCCGATTTCAAAGCTTTATTCTCCTTGCCAATATTATGTTTTAGCCAAAAGACATCCCGCTGCAATGAGTGTTAAGTGTCAGTGTTTAATACTATAATTTACGCAATGTTTATTTAGCATACCTCTAGTCGAACCAGCTCCTCCTGTAAGCTTTTCGATCTTAACCAAAGCGAGACGTCTTTTGACCATTTAACATCCCAAAAACCGTTCTCCTTTTCAAGAACAAAGTCCAAGGTGACATACTGTATATCACCTATTAAAAATGTTAGAGCTTTGTTATACTTTTGAGTAAGAAAGAAAGGTATATATTAAACCGTACCTCCATACAAACTGCCAATCAGCTCCTCGTTGCCCGTGTTGTATATGGATATAAAGTCCATCACCTGGGACTTCTGCTTCATCATAGCTTCTTGAAGCTTTGCAGCCTGCCTAGTTCCTGGTCAAAAAATAAAGTTAAGTCATTGGCAATAGACTAAACACAAAAGTACGTACCGATATGGCCGCTATGAAGTTTATCCCCAAGGTCAAAGTAAACTTGGACATTACTTCTTAAAATATCCCTATATAATGCCTCTTTGACCTTGAGGAAGGCCAACCATTGGGACTCGGAAAACTGGAAATATTCGCGCGCCAAGATTGTTGGTCTTTCGGAGACGTTACGACCGGCAGCCCTCTCCACATCACCAAGATACTTTTCGATCTTTGGCAACTCACTGCGGAAGTAGGACCTACCGGTGGAGCTGACAATATAGGCCGTATCGTTACCGTTGAGGATGCTCCTACAAATTGAAATAAAAAAAAATGAATTTGATATAAATTTATAAACATATTAAAATAAAAAAAAAGAGGACTTACTTAAAGCTAATGTAAACGCTCAATAACAAAGGAAAAGTATGTTCGTCTACATAGCTTTTTGGGAGTATATTCGTTAAATCATACCCAGAACATCCTCGCTCCCCAAGATTAGCCACTTGCCTGGCGTAACGCTCCTCAATGCTTCGGATATATGTATCCGTCCACACTCTAACCTTGTTGTCGACATTTTTTTTTCGACAGCAAAGCGACGGATTTTCTCCTTTAAGGTTTTAGCTACCAATGCAAACATTTTACAAGAATTAGTGTTAATATGTATTGTATTGTCTTCATTTAATTGACGTACCCAGATTGAGCCTGATGGCCGTATTCCTGTACTTGACAGCCATGTATAGGACATACTGCAGGTTCTCAACCGACATGGGCTTGGTCATGGTAATGTAGTTGGCTAGGTAGGACTAAAGTCTTTCCATGCCCTCACCGTCAGTTAACCCAAAGTTAGAGATATACCTCGGGTTGTACTTGGCCTGACAGTGCATTACATGGGCGTAGGCATGGAATACAGACAAACTAAAACGGTCAGAACCGGCAATCCTGGGGAAGTTCAGCTAAAACTTGTAAATTAATAGAGTAATAATTGGTGATTATAAATGCAACATACCTTAATAGATGGCTCCAATTTACATACAATGTCATACATGATATGCAACGGAACCTTTCTATTAAGCTGGTTCTCAACAGAAGCTATGGAAGCCAATGGGTATTTGAACCTATATAAACTATTAATCCATGAAAAAAAAATACATAACCTCTAAAATATTTAAT